CGCTGCTGCCCATACAGTCGGGCGTCGGCAACATCGCCAATGCCGTGCTGACCGGGCCTGGTCGACGGCCCGTTCGAGAACATGACGGCCTTCACCGAGGTCATCCAGGACGGCATGCTCGACCTGATCGACTCGGGCAAGCTGCGCATGGCCTCCGCCACCGCCTTCTCGCTGAGCCCGGAAGCTGCGGCCAACCTCAACGCCGACATGGGCCGCTATCGCGACAAGATGATCCTGCGCCCCCAGGAGATCAGCAATCACCCCGAACTGATCCGCCGGCTCGGCTGCATCGCCATGAACGGCCTGATCGAGGCCGACATCTACGGCAACGTCAACTCGACCCACATCATGGGGTCGCGCATCCAGAACGGCATCGGCGGTTCCGGCGACTTCGCCCGCAACGCCTATGTGTCGATCTTCATGACGCCTTCGACGGCCAAGGGCGGCAAGATCTCGGCCATCGTGCCGCAGGCGAGCCATGTCGATCACATCAACCAGGACGTCCAGGTGCTGGTCACCGAGCAGGGGCTTGCGGACCTGCGCGGCCTGTCGCCCAAACAGCGCGCGCGGCTGATCATCGACAACTGCGCCCATCCGGATTATCGCCCGGCGCTGGCCGACTATTTCGAGCGGGCGTTGAAGCATTCCTATGGCCTGCAGTCGCCGTCGCTGCTCAACGAGGCGCTGTCCTGGCACCAGCGATATGTCGAGACCGGCTCGATGCGCCCCTGATCACTGCCCGACGAAGAAGTCGCTGATGCGGGCCGCGGTCTGTTTCAGGACCGGCAGGATCTCCGCCTCCATTTCGGCCGGCGAGTGGCGCGTCGACTGCGTCGAGACGTTGATGGCCGCGACCACCGCGCCCGCGCGGTCGCGCAGAGGCACGGCGATCGACCGCAGGCCGATCTCCAGTTCCTCGTCGACCAGGGCGTAGCCGTTTTTCCGTACGGCGGTGATGATCTCGCTGAGCTTCGCGGCATCGGTGATGGTCTTCGGCGTGCGCTGTTCGAACGTCGCGCGCGCCAGGAAGGCGTCGAACTCCGGCTCGGAAAGCCCCGACAGCAGCACGCGCCCATG